CCAACAGCACCAACACATTTGCTGCCCAGCGCTGCGGCTGAGATGAAGCCGCCAAAGCTCCCGCTGGCGCCCCCACAGCATTGGGTGGAAATCAGGCAGTGCTGTTGGAGGAGGAGGCGGCGAACCAGCCTGCCACCGCCAGCCCCGCTGCTCTTCCCACCCCCTTCCCAGCCCCACAGTCCAGTGGTCGCAGCAGAAGCAGCCCCGGGGCTCCGCTGCCGCTCCCCGCATTTTCTGGACGGGGTCTCAAAGGAAGGAATCCCCCTTTGAAGAGCCGTGCTCTTCAAAACAAGTCTGGGGAGGTCCTTTGCAGGCGGTCAGTTGTAGCCGCCTGCAAAGGACTTCCCCACGTTTGCTTTAAAGAAATCTCTGCGCGGCAGATAAAAACTGCTGTGCGGGGTTTTCTTGCCACGTGAGCGGCTGCGCAGCCGCGCACCTTAGAGGGAACAGTGATGAACACACTTTATAAGCGACTAGTTTCAACACTTGCATAACTCCCACCAATTGTATGGTTATGTACACAGTTTGGAAAGAGATTTCTTGTTTGCTTAGCAAACAAACAAAAGCCTTGTGTAATTATTTGCTCTAATATGAACACTCACTGTTATCAGGTTTTAAACAACATGGTCTCTAGTATGTTACTATAGTACCTCAAAGAAATTAAATCCTACACATCAAAGTATAGTCAAACCATGAGATAAAATCCAATACAACATAATAGTCTTTGGCAGGCTTATCCATCTTTACTTGTTATCATCTTTCATGTCTTACTTGCCCAAAGACCATCAACATACATTACTATGAAATAACATTTGTAGGGAAAAGCACCTGGAGGAATTCAAGAACAGCTTGCGTTCAAAAATTTCTGGAGCTCAAGGATATCTAAAGCCATAATTTATTTCAATAATTATCTGGAGATGGATCACATTGGCTTGGTTCATACATTTTGAGCCACGAACTCCAGACTGTGTCTTAGCAATGTATGACCCAAGCCACTATCTCAGTACAAAGGAGTTTATGAAGATGACTTTTGGCATTCAGTCTGAAACCCACCTTTCTCTGACTTCAAACTGGCTATGTGTCTGCAGAGTTTGAACTTTGCAAAAAAGAAAATACAAACAGATCTGTTCTGGCTATTTAAATGTCTATGTTTATAAGGTTAGATATGGAACAATCCTGAACAAATTCTTTCACCAAATAATCCACGGGATAGAGACTAAGACATTCAAATTATTTTAGCTTGTTTATTTTATGAACAAGCAGCATTTCATTAATCTTGAATATTTGAATAGCATAAAGATGTGGGCTTTGCATTTTTTTGATTAAATATATCTTGTATAGCAAACTGCCCATAAAAATGACCCCAAAAATCAGCTCTTTTCTTTTCATACATTTTTGTGTTTGCGTGTTTTAAGTTTGACTAGAACGACATTTCACTGGATTTATTATACACGAGTTCTGCAATATCTGGCTGTTCTGCCCGAGGACCGTCTGGTTGTTCTCAGCTGGAATTCTACTGGGAAGTGATCGCTCACTGCTAAGGCCTGTGAAAAAATATATATTTTAACTTAAGAGACTATGTTCAGCTATCCCTGCACCAATACATATCACAACTATTATGTATAAAGTTGATATTATGATTAGTAGCTGATATTCATTGTTGTTTTACAACAAACATGAAGCAAAGATACTTCCTCTCCCCAAACCCTATTAACTCCAGACCATAAACTTCACTATACATTTTATTATAGAACTTAAATGCAAATAGAGCTTGCACAGACCATACTTCTGAAGGTATAGAAGCAGAGAACAGGATCAGAGGTGGTATTCAGCAGGTTCTGACCAGTTCTGGAGAACCGGTACCGGAAATTTTGAGTGGTTCGGAGAACTGGTGAATACCACCTCTGACTGGTCCCGTCCCCATCTACTCTCTGCCTCCTGAGTCCCAGCTGATTGGGAGGGAACGGGGATTTTGCAATAACCTTCCCCTGGAGTGGCGGGGGGAGGAAGGCGGAATGGAGATTTTACAGTATCCTTACCCTGCCATTCCAACAAAGCCACGTTCAGCAAGCCATGCCATGTCCAACAAGCCATGCCCACAGAACCAGTAGTAATTTTTTTTGAAACCCATCACTGAACAGGATGGTTGTTAAACAAACACAGTGGTTGTTAAGCTTTTTTGGGTGTCTGCGTGTCAGAGGTGGGTTGCTGCTGGTTCACCCCAGATCGGGCAAACTAGTAGTGGTGGCAGCGGGAGGCCCCACCCACCCGCCTGGATGCTTCTGCACAGGTGCAGAAGTGTCACATGATTGCATGAGTGCGTACCCATGAGCAAACCGGTAATAAAATAAATTGCAACCCACCACTGGTGTGTGTGTGTGTGTGTGTGTGTGTGTGTGTGTGTGTGTGTGTGTTCAAATGGTCACTAAGCAACCATTCATAAATCAAGGATTATATAGTAGCCTTAATTTTTCTGAAGACAAATTGGTGATATTTAGAGATACAGAAAAACAACAATTAGTGTAATATCTCATAGGCCAAAATTTGCATATAGATCACCAACCCCACCAACACAAACACTTGCTAAGGCCAACCAGGAATTGTAGCAATTACAGTTACAATATGAGCTGCGGAAGGCTGCTTTAGAAATGAGAATTCTTGCTTGCTTCCTCCCTGAATCCTTGCCCCATAAGAATCCGATTAGCGTCAATGGAGGACAAGTAGTGGGAAATCTGGTGTTCACTGCTTTATTTTCCCTTCTTGACCTATCTTGGTCTCAGTTCTTCCTTTCTTCTTTCCTGATTGATCCCACTTCCATTCCTCTTTCCCTTTTGATCCCTTTCCCTGGTGGCCCCAAAGATACAAAACCTCAGAAAACTTTCCCCGGAGCATCACCCAATCCTTCAACCAACCTGTTCTTCAGTCATGGAGAAGGCACTCTGAAAATCAAAGATATTGGCTGAGCCCAAGATGGCGGCATTTATAAGTGTCTCTCCATGGAGCACAATCCTACAGAATAAGAGAAAGTGAGAACAAGACTGTGGCATTAATATCTACCTGCGCCCCTCATGTCCCATTTTGAGTCTAGTAGGCCTTCCTGCAGCCTCTTGGGAGCAAAAACGGGGTATGTGGGGACTCCTGGAAGGGGCGGGGCAGGAAGTGTCAGTGGCAACCAATAATTTAACAGCCGGTTTGCCTGAACCTGCCTGAACCAGCTGAATCCCACCGCTGCTAAGCACTCATAGAAGAAATACATTGCAGAAAAGGTTGCATATGGTGTAATGCCAACCCAGGGATGGATTCTCAAAAGCACCAGTGGCCTGCAGCCAGCAGTCTGACCCACTGCTGCACTGCAGTATCGCAAGCAGCTGGGGAGAATCTAACATCATCTGGCTTTTCAAAGCTATTTTTTCCCTTGTATCTTTTGCACATATCACAGCAAGAAGGCAAGCATACAATAAGATTATAGGCAGGTGTTATTTTTAAAAGGCATGTTGAATTTCATATACGTTGCTCCAATGGAACTGGGCTGAGTAACAGGGCTGCAGTAGTTTACATATATAGGATAGAGAGAGTCTCCTACCTCAATTGAATAAAATATAATTTATTTTCTATAAATTGTCCAGGATCATTCTGGAAAGATTCTCAGCTGAGATAGTTCTGTACTAAAGTAATGTGATGGCCTGGATTTACAACCTTCTTTAAAACAGTTTGCACCCACCCTGATGTTCCCTACTTTTATTATGTACCGAGGGAAAATATCAGGGTAGAGATCAAGTGAAAATCATGTGAAGTTCATTTTAGGTAGAGTTACAAGGGGTGAAAGCCTCTTTAGACTTAGGCCTTTTCCAAGCCTACCTGCACTAGCATTCATCTGCTTCATAAAGAGTAGATTTGTCCATCTTTTTAATGTTTAATTATTAGCTTCCCTTGGACAGCAAGGTGATCAAACCAGTCAGTCCTAAAGGAGATCAATAGCAATAGCAATAGCAATAGCAGTTCGACTTATATACCGCTTCATAGGGCTTTCAGCCCTCTCTAAGCGGTTTACAGAGTCAGCATATCGC